GGAAACTGCAGGGGTTTCCACAAAAGCTTTCATGGAAGAGTGCTGACCAGCCAATGCCTGAGGTTATCTTGGAGGTAATAGGTGTTTACAAGTCATGGATTATTTGTTCAGAAAACACAAAAGAAGTAGGATTTCCAAATATTGTCTGCTCTAGTCACTATTCCTTTATTACCATTTTCCTCTATTTCTTCAATGTTCTATTAAATACAGAATCCACATGCCAGTTTTTTTGGTTAAGGAGAAACCAAGAGTGTAGCCAAGGTTTTAATTCCCTGCTTGAAAAATCATATTATTCATGCCAGAAACATGTGAAAACAAACTCCTTGTTTAATCAGATAAGAAGGGAGAAGCTTATCAAGAATGATGACACACTTATTCAGTTAATCATTTCTTCTCTTATCCCACTGAGTATCTCTCTACAGTGAATCCAATAGGAAATAGCCCCTCTCTCCATGTGCTTTTCGCCTGTTTCTTCAAGAACTCTATAAGGAGGGAGTGAGAAGGCACTGTGCACAAATCTCGGAGGTGCTCTGGGTTTAATTTAGCAGAGCCTTCCAGAAATGCTACAGCTAGTTGCTAAGTAGTCTTCCCACCCTGATTTTTCATGGCGGTGGCAGATCTGGGGATGAGCAGAGGCAATGTGCTAAAGTGGAGGGACACTGCACTGCCCCTGGGGCAGGTGTTGGCCAAATCACATGCAAGCTCTGGGGTATGACCAAGTGGCTTCATTTGGTAGGGCCTCCTGGGTTTCCTCATGTTTAAAATGTCATGCAGTCAATGATAAATGAGCTCATTTAACTCAGAAAACGTTTGAATATTTGTGTGCCAGACACTGGGGGCATAGATTTGCCCTCAAGTAGTACAGAATATTTTAGGAGAGTCAAGTCTGTAAATCCATAACTGAAGTGTGATTACAGAAGTATTTTCAACAGTGGTTCTCAAGATTATCAGAACGCAGAGGAAGCTTTTCATATTACATAGTCACCCCCAGAAACAGAATGCAAGACTCTCAATAATTCACTTTTTAAAAACTGCTACTGCACGTGTTCAGCCATGGAAGGCCCAAGTACTTAGAAGGCAAGTGTGGGGAGCAACTCGGACTAGACTAAGTTACTGGAATTAAGACTTATTCTATGCATCTGCTCTCCCACAATATGGCGCTAAGAAGGGAGAAACAGCTTCTACACAGCTGCCTCCAGTTCAACCAATAAACTGTAGGACTTACTCCTGATTGGAGGAGAGCAGCGTACTCGGCGTGTGGGCAGCCGAGTTGGGATTGGCGGAAGAGGAATATAAAGGAGGAGAGAGACAACATGCACCAGGAACATCTAGCTGAAGGAACACCTGTGCAGCCCCCGAGAGAGCCAGCCGGCGGTGTGCCGCTCCCCTGCGGAAGTGGGGAATGTGGCCAGGGGGAACCGCCCTTCCACGGAGGTGGAAGGATCGGCAGCCAACCCGGGAAGAAGCAGGAGCAAACCCGGGGAGGGCCGAGCAGACAAAAGAACAGCGCAGGGTCCTGTGTCATTCCTCCACGAAGAGGGGGAGCGACAGGCAAGTGGTTTAATTCAACCTGCTGTCTTTTCCAGGAAGAGAAACTCCCAAGTAACCCCTTTCTAATCAGGCCTCCAGAACTTCTGCTCCATGTAATACTCCTGGGTCAAATAAGTCACAGAATGAATTTTGACTTCTACTCCTTTGCCAATGACTTTGAAAGCTGCACCTTGCTCTGCCGAGCTCCAAAATAGCTGTCAGCTAGTGGACAATTATCTTCTGGATGTCCCATGAGTTTCTCACTTGGGATAAAAGTCACACTTTCCTCAGAGCTCTCCTCCTTTCTGGGGGTGAACTGTTCCTCCTGTTCCTCATTGAAGTGGCAAACAATCTGCCCAAGCAAATTCTGTTGGAGTAATCTTAGACTCCTTTCCTCCTCTGCAAATCCTTTGAGTGCTATCTCTGAAATACATAATGGTGTCCCTAACTCTCTCTTTCCAGCGCCCTGATCCTATTAAGACCTGTAATTGCTTTTTCCAGGACTATTACAATGATCTCCTTGTCTACTTTGAAATGTCATTCTTTCTAACCTATTAAGTTTCTTTCTCTCAGGTAAACTTGATGATGTCATCCTCAGCTAAAATTCTTCGAAGGGTTTCCTCTCCATTCTGTTTCTCCCAGTGTTTAGAACTATGTCTTGGCCACTGTGCTGCTTGATCAGTTCTGGGGTAGAGTGAAGGACTGGTATATACTAGGAAAGTGGGACACATAAACAGAGAATTGTAGAAGAGATCATCCTGCAATGTAGCAATTTACAGGCTGCTTTTGGAAAATGTGGGGAGGATCCAGTTGCATAAAGGTGTTTCAGTGACCAGTTATCAAATACCTATAATGTAGCAGGCATCAATCCAGTTACTTAGACTGCAGTGATTAAAATGCACAAGTTCTGTGCTTGAGCTGAGAAAAATTGTAACATAATAAGTTTGGAGCCATTACATATGTAAAGAATTGCTGGAGCATAGAGCCACAGAAGCTTAAATTTTAACTTGAAAATTGAATAGGAACTTGATAAGCCTGGTGAACTACACAAGGAAATAAAGGATCCCAGAAGTAACAGAAAAGGGAAGTGAAATGTTTGGAAAAATGGAAAGCAGCTGACTGCCACAGGAGCCCAGGGTGTTCAAGAGAGGATGATTAAGGGAGCAGGAAAGCAAAGGGTTAGGTTGAAACACTCCTCATCATTCATTCATTCACATACTCACATGTTCATCAACAAACAGTGATCAGATATCCTTTGCAGGGTTTCCTATTAGTCCCAGGGAACTATGCCTGGGTCATGGCCTAAGTCAAGACCCTGAAAATTGCCTATGACTAAATAAAGATCCTAAGTAAAGTTACCAGGGGTCTAGCACTTTCCTCTCCCTCACCTCCACTCCCAGTCCTCACAGTGTGCCTTCAAATGCTTTGATCTTTCTGCATCGTATTCCAGCCAGAGATTAGAGCTGTCATCCTTTAAATGAATTAAAATGAGGGGAGGGAAGACACATTTAAAGACAATGAAAGAACTTCAACAGTTGCACAATCGCCCTCTTTGCTACTATAAATATTTAGGGCAGGGAGACACAGGTTTTAAAACTCCCTGCCATGTTCAATGTTTAGTTTTTACATTTTAAGCCATCAATGTTCCATCATTACTCCTAGGCTGACAGTCTCTTCTTTTGTGTATGTGAGCTTCTTCCCATTAAATAAGCTTCTCTTTTGGAAGAAATCTTATGGTAACAACTATAATTACAACCCAAGGCTGAGCTGGAAAATGCACTGATGTGACAGCTTTTGTGATAGGAAGGGTGGAGAAAGAACGAAAGCTTCTAATTTTCTTTAAGGTGTCTTGAAGCAGCCCTGCCCATGTGATGTAAATGTGCAGTGACCTGGAGTTTCAGGAGAGAGTAAACCAGAAAGACATGTCAGGTTACTGCTGCATGGACCACCAGTTAACAAGCAAGACAGACTTGATGTGATGCTGAATTCCCTATGACTTCTTTAAAAGGAATAGTCTTGGGGCCAGTGCTGTGGCTTAGTGGGTAAGGCCACCGCCTGCAATGCTGGCATCCCATATGGGTGCCAGTTCTAGTCCCAGCTGCTCCACTTCCTATCCAGCTCACTGCTGTGGCCTGGGAAGGCAGTGGAGGATGGCACAGGCTGTGGAGCCCCTGCACCATCATTGAAGACCCGGAGGAAGCTCCTGGCTCCTGGCTTCCAATCAGCGCAGCTCTGGCCATTGTGGCCAATTGGGGAGTGAACCAGTGGATGGAAGATGTCTCTTTCTCTGCTTCTCCTTCTCTCTCTGTGTAACTCTGACTTTCAAGTAGAATAAATAAATCTTAAAAAAAAAAAAAAGGAATAGTCATACAATTCTTCCCAACATTTGGAACAAAACGGCCTATTTTCAACATCAAAATCTTATTTCTCACTTGAGACGAGTTTTTCATGTCTCTCATTTAAGGAAATACACAGTGATGATAAACAACTCTGTTTGTTATTACTTTGAAATAAATTAGTTTGTTTCATTCATTGCAATAGTATTTATAGACACCTGAAAAAAAAAAGATATGTGGATTTGAAAAATATGATTTATTCGACCAACCCAACAAACCTTGGCCCATGTGTATTTGATAACATTTGCAGCAACTCAAAAATTGGTGATTTGCCACTCCCCCTCAGTCCCCACCTCAAGGCTGGGAATAATGTGTTCCTTGTATTCCCTTATTTGTTCATTTGTTCAATTATTTCTTTTCATTTAAAAAAATGTGTTTAGGCACATGCATAGTGGGACATGTGTAAGCCATATTGGGGAGCCTGGGACAGGGTCCTGCCTCTGCTTCTGATCCAGCTTTCTGCTAGTACATATCATAGGAAGCAGCACATAAAGACTTAAGTGGGACCTTGCGGCCCTCATGAGAGACCCAGCCAGTGTTCCTGGTTCCTGATTTTGGCCTGGTTCAGCTCTGGTTGTTGTGAATATTTGGGAAATGAACCAGTGGATGGAAAATCAATCTCTCTCTCTTTCAAATAAATAGAAATACATTTTTTAAAAATTTTATTTATTTATTTGAAAGTTGGAGTTACACACAGAGAGAGAAGGAGAGGCAGAGAGAGAGAGAGATCTTCCATCCACTGGTTCATTCCCCAATTGGCCGCAGTGGTCGGATCTGTGCTGATCCGAAGCCAGGAGCCAGGAAACTATATGCATGAGTCATTAATACAAAGACAAATAACACCTGGTAGCTATCCTCCAGGCACTTAAATCTAGTCAGGGAGACATTGGAGCAGTGCAATGGCACAAAGGAGGATGTGGCTAGTTTCCCTGGGAGAGGATGTCTCAAAAAGCTTTTTTCAGCCAGATCCGCGTGCCTTAAGGGCTGATTCTGAGGCCAGAGTGCCATTAGGACATCTGCCATTCTATGGGTCTGCTGTGTATCTCGCTTCCCATGTTGGATCGTTCTCCCCCCCCCCCTTTTTTTTTTTGGTTCCAGTACGACTTTTATTTGAGCTGCCCCTGGGGTGTGTGTCCCTGTCACAGGCCAAACCAGCTGGGAACCCCGCCACGCCGGGGGTCGGCACTCAGCCGCTGCCGCTCAGCCTGCAGGAGGTGGTCCCGGGCGTCCTCGGGGCCGTCCTGGGAGCCCTGCTCCTTCGCAGGGAACAGGTCGGGAAAGGTGAAGCGCTGTCCGTGGGCCAGCTGCACATAGGCCACCTTGTAGTCCGGCTTCTTCAGCCGCACGTTCCTGTGGTCTCTCTTCCTGTTGGAGCCGTGCTGCACCCGCGTCCGCACAGCGGCCACCGGCATCTTGTAGATGCTCTGCAGGTAGTTCCTGAGGTCCACCCTGGTCATCTCCATGGGGATCCGGAACTGCACGGTGTCCTCGGGCTGGGCCGTGCCAGGCCGCACCAGCTGGATGAAGAAGTTGGTTCAGAAGAGGCAAAGCTGGGGGCCCCCCAGCTGGTACAGGGGGTACAGCACATTCTGTGCCATGGAGCCGCACCGCTTCTCTCCCTTTTTTATTCTATCAGCTAGTATTTGCAGACACTAGTCTTGTTTATGTGCTCCCTTTGGCTCTTAGCCCTATCATTATGATCAATTGTGAATAGAAATTGATCACTGGGACTAGTGAGATGGTATTGGTACATGCCACCTTGATGGGATTGAATTGGAACCCCCTGGTATTTTTTTAATTTTCCCATTTGAGGTAATTCAGCTTAAGCATGTCCCAAGGCAGGAAAAGCCAAAACACTCGGGCAAAAAAAAAAAAAAAAAAAAAAAA